ACCTCCTCCCTGTTACCAAAAAAGTGGGGGTCTCTTTTGCGCTGTTTTCGACTAGCTGAAGGTACAGTGCACAGTCAGGGAAAAAGCACAAAGTATCTTGGAGCCACATAAAAGGAAGCATACATTTACAAATAATAAGATTCATTAAGGAAAATAATAGAAGCGGCAGTAATAGGCATTAAGTCTAGAATTCATAACTTCAGATTTCTCGTGCACAATAAGCTTTCTGGTGTGCCACTGTTTTCAATAGCCTAGCAGCTTTTTAAAATTCTTTTCGTAAAAGATGATGGGCTTCGAGCGCTAGGATATGCAAGTACACAGAAAAGACTGGCTTTGCTGACCATTTCTTTGTGTTTGGGTATATATTTCTGTATGGCATAATATTTCCACTTGCACTGGTTTCCTGGCACGAAAATGTTTATTGCGCTCATTAGCTAAGAGGGTATCGGCACTGGTCCAATGAACACAGATCTGCCTTCTGATTTCAGCCATTAAATTGCAGTGGGATTCACAGGCTTAACATTGTGGGTGTGAGGATGATAAAATGGAAACTCCGTCTTTAGCCCAGTTACCATGGATGCAGTTAAAGGTCATAGTGCCAGCTGCTAACTAGTTGCCTTTTGAGCTGTGCTTCCCCTCCTGGCTCTGTGTTTTCGAGCACTTCCGTTCCTTGAGGTCTGTCCTGGAATACCTTCACCTAATTTCGTGACACACTAACCTCTTCTTTAAAACGGCAGGCTCCCTCCTTTCAAGACAACGGTTGCCATGGATCTCTTCTTTTACGTACGTATTATAGACACGGTATAGAATCCAAAGGTAAAGGCCTTAATAAAAATCCAAATTGCTGTGGCTTCGGCATCCTGCGTTACTTGCTCATTTTCTGCACAGCGCTCATTCCCAGCCTCGCCCCCGCCGCCCCCAAAAAGTATGGTAAATTCCCATCTTCGTTCAAACTGGTAATGGGTTGAGGCACCGATGCATTCACAACGTGAACCATCAACTTCTTCTTCATTCGGCCCAAAGTCCTAGGAGTTAATTCCTTGTATTGCATGAGGTGTCAGGGTAATTACTGCTGATCAACCCTGTTTCCCCGCGTGCTGCCCAGCCTCGCGGGCCCCCTGTTTATTGATGCACCGCTACAGCATCTCGGGCGCTTTCATTCAGCCAAGCTTCTTAATCGAAAGGGTTTGGACAATGTCGGATTTTCAAAGAGAAGAAGTAGGGGAAAAAATTAAAAGTAGCCAAGCAAAATAAAGTGCCTGGTAAGAAACCAGAATGCTCTACAAAATATTTCCTGATGTCGACACTTCGTCTCAATACATTTTAAAACTCCCATTCATTCCCCAAAGAAGGTGCTGTGAGCCTTTCCTTGGGCGACCTAACTGTACGATCACATTTTGAAATATTTGGGGGAACGTGTAGCTTGAAAAAAAAAAAAAACACTTCGGGAAAGTTTATTGCTTTTTGTTCTATTTAGATATGTCTCAACTGTGTGGAGCTATATAAGCCAGAATACAAAGAAACTTACCAAAAAAAAAAAAAAATGTTGTGCCCCTCTGTTTTAAACACACATTTATATAACTTGTCATTTCATAAAAATAAATTAAGTATTATATGAGCCAAATGTTTCAATTCCACACAAGAGTGGTTTCTGGGGCTCTTGGCAGAATGCCACTATATTCATTTTTATTTCAAACACAATGTGAAGTCTTTAATTTTAATACACTTTGTAACTATAATGGTTATAAGGCATATACTGTATTAATCCACCCTCATCTTTTTCTGGGCCTGGGCAGATTTCACCGAAGAACAGAAAGATCCGTTGATTTCATGTACCTTACACACTTGAAAATACTGCGGGAAGCCTGGGGTGGGGTGCGGAGCCCGGAGAGAGAATTCAGAGCCGGGCACTCAGGGCTCAGCGCCCTAAACGTTGCCACTGGCGTTGGCCTATCATCCTTGCACGTGTCCGGTCCCCGAGTTCAAGGGACGGCCAGATAGAGAAGCCAGGCGAGCGGTCGAGAGGGGAGGGGAAGTCCCATCTGCCGCCTGGGGCTCTTCCCCGGCTCTTGAGTCCCTGGGCACCTCCCTCGGGAGCCATCTCTCAGCCTCTGGCAGTCTGAACGGAGAGGAGGACTGGTTAGTCAGCTGATGGGAGCCTCTCTGCAAGCGCCCCATGTGATGGCAGTGTGGTCATGGGCCAAATCCTTCCCCACAGCTCCTTTATCCTCTGGAACTCTACTGGCCAACAGTCAGAGAATGAGCAGGGGACAAGAACACTAGGAGATCCCTGCCCCGTTTAATCCGAGCTAGGCTGCCAGAAAAAACGAGAGGCTGATGCCCGGTAAGAGGCACCAGAGTGGCAACGACAAATACATATGTAAATCTATTAATCCCCAGGGACAGTCCCCAGGTCTCAGAGCGACCTCAGCAGCAGAGAGGTATTTCTTCATTAAAGGGGCCGGCGGAGGGGGAGGGGAGGGAGAAGTCATTCTCCTAAGCCTTGCGACTGTATTCTTGGGGACACCAGAATAACACGTTTCCAGCGCTCAGGGAGACTTGAGCTCTCTCCTCTTCCTCTGCCACACTTCTAATCAGAGAATTTCTTCCTGTGCCTTGTTTACTGTTGATATTTTCTGGCTGATTGGAGAGGAATGACATTTTGACAATTTACTGTAGCAGTAAGCACTGTACAAACAAAAGGTGCTGATGAAAACTGGAACCCATTATTATGTAAATGACGGCTGAGTAACACAGAATCTGTCTCCCAGTCACCATCATTGAGACCAGTTTTACTCAATGATAATAATTTTCATGATTGCAGACTTCAGAGTGATCAGAAATATGCTTTAGCTGTTGCATTTATCTGCTGCTGGTACTTGACCCTTAATTAAATTCTGAAACTTTTTTATATAATAAAGTAAAATACAGCTGACACTTCCGTTCAAACAAAGAGGCTCAAACACAGAGCTACCAAATAAGATAAAGGTATTTCAGACTTACCTCGCTGTATTTATAGTAAACACGGATTGTACAGTGTATTTTGAAAGCGAGCTTAAAGTTTCAAATGCAGATGTGTGTTTTCAAGTAATTTCAATTCTGTACTTCGGCACGGCTCTTCTTAAATAATGCGAAACCTCTGCAGGCTCATCTTGGACACGTCATAATAAAAAAATCTGTTTGAAAGGCATGTAAATGTGCTCTGAAAATAAGTTCTGTGGATTCTTTAAATCATCCGTCTTAATATCTAGACTATTCAAAGCGAGTCCTCAAAACTACGCCACTTATTAAGACCCACACAGCTTGGGGAGCCTGCACTGAGCTTTGGAAAGGAATCTTTTCTTCAGAAATGTGTTCTTGTCTTAAAAGGAGAAAGCCAAGGCAAATTTTCAAGCAGCATTTTGGCTTCAATGACAAATTGATTGGCTAAAACAGATGTCAAAGTGAAAATACAAAGAGCCAGGCATTATATGCAGGTATCAGCTGTTTTCTTAAGACTGGCTGACAGTAAAAGACACTTTGGCTAATGTGTTCTTATTCTCTTGAAATCCTGCTAATGCTCCAGAGCATTTATTTACCTTGGAGTTCTCGCACTCCTTCAGGGTTGGCGGGGGGAGGGCAGACTGGGGGCCCCCCGCCGGCGCGGGGGGGGAATCTTCGTTTTGAATATGTTAATAAGTAAAAGTCAATTTAAAGGGGGCAATTGTATGAGCCCGTTTTTAATATTTCCTTAAATATATAACTCTTTCTAGTCAGGCAGCTCACAGAGCCAATGAGCTAAGAAGGTAATTACTTAAGTGGATTTCATGAAGAGCAGAAAGATGATTGTGTCACATTAAATAACAATTGTGTCCTTAATGATGTGTTGTGCTATAATGCAAACACCCCTCCGCCATCTCTGGCCAGGGCTCCAGTGTTCCTTTCTAATGACTCCTGGGGCTTCGGTCCCCTTGCCACGACTCGGGGCTTTCAGAGCCTATGTAAACACCAAGTGAGCTGGTATATTTTTTTAGACTGTGGTGCCTGCAGCTGCGTGGTCATTGATAAATTGGCTATGAATTGCTGAAATACTTCATATGAATATAAACATTGTTGTAGCTTTGTAGCTTGGAAAAAGGAAGAAAGAAATGGACTGGACCTGACAGAGGAGACGGCAAGTCCAGAACACAACCTTCCAGAGCTTTCATTCTTTGTAGAGTAAAGGCCCCATTTACTTGGAAAACCAGCACAATAGTCCCCAAAAGTGTGTGTGTGTGTGTGTGTGTGTGTGTGTGTGTGTGTGGAGGGGGGAGGGATGTGAATGCAGCTTTAGAAATTGCATGAAGTGTGGTTTCATATTTAGGCATTTCTCTCCTATAGAATATAGAAGCAGGACATAATATTGCTGCATATTAGATTTTGTTTCTTTGCAATATATAGTATTCTGAGCATCTGTACCCACTCCACTTGGTCTAGAGATACAAAAGAAGGGCCAGCATAATAAATATATCCTATCTCTGACTTAGGATTCACATGCGATGCTATCTAGCCTTAGAGGCAGAATTTTCACAGTGATGTACACTTAAGAAAGAGAGAAAAAAATAAAAACATGAACAGGATAATTAGCCCATGGCTATAAATTTTCTTGACTGCTCTTGGATGCTATTATAATGACCAGTTCCCATATAGTCCATCATGGTATCTCTTCGTAGACATGCACATAGAATCTTTACAAGATCGTTTCTTTCCTGATGTTAAAATTAATACACCTGCTTTCAAAGGATATGATTCAAATGAAATGTACAAAATGCAATAAACAACCCAAACGTGGGGAGAAAGTACCTTGCATGAAATCCTATTTGAGTAGCAACGTACCCATTTCACAGCACGAAGAAATAAGGTCCTTAAGGTCAGGAAATCTGAACCTCACTATAGGTTAAATATGTTGTGGTTGTTGAAATGAGCAAATCTCTTACCTCTAATATTTTGTCTTTGTCTGTTTGTTGTTTGTGCGATTCAAGGAAGGGAGACTTTTGGATCAGAACAGATGATTGAAATGGAGACTGGAAATGCCTGATCATGTTGAAAGACACCGGATCCGTCTCTGGAAATAACTACCACAAAATCAGATTCCATAATCATGAAAGAAACACCTGTGGGGCGCCAAGCATCTCTCTTTGCAGATAAAAGATCACCGCCCTGGAGCAACAAGGGGAGAAGGCCACCTTTACTGGGTCCTGTATAGGGCACTGCCTTGGCTGATGCTTCCTTCCCGCTCTGTGAGACAGAGTATCAGACCCCACAAGAAGCTGCATAACCCCCCTCCCCCCGCTTTCTCGGAGCCTGGGTCCACCCAGGTCTGACTGACTCCAAAGCAAGACTTGTTTACAGCATGGATATGATCCAACGGGTGGGAGAGACCGGTCAACATTGAAATCCAGATGCAATAATAAAGCCTCAACCAAGCGCTGCAGGCAGCTGGAGAAGGAGGCGACGCAACAATACGGATGGTCACAGAGGCCACCCCTCATCTCCAATATCCTTTTCCAAAACAAGTATGAGCGGCTCTACAAGCTTATGGGAGCTATACATAAGCTGCTTAGAGAGCCGCTCATACTACTGGGCACCGAGGACTCTAATTACTCGGCAAGTATTTCCCCCTGCACTCTAAACAGTTAAGTATTTTGTGTCCATTTTACAAACAAGAGAGAGAAAACGCATGAAATAAATGATTCTTCGAGCCACACACCCTTCCAAGCGTTTGACGTACATTAACATCTCAAAGCCACCTTGCGAGTTAGGCATTATTGGATTCATTCCCATTTTACAGATGAGGCAGTGAGCCACCAGGATGAGTGACCAGGGTGAGGTCACGTAGCTGGAGAGCGGAGGGCCAGTTGCTGACCCAGGATGGCTGTCCCGAGCCTGGATCACTGAATTGCGCTGCCTCCAGCAAAAGCAATTAAGGCTGGTCGGAGTGAACCATCCCAGACCGTGGGCAGGGTGGAGGTTATAAACATTGACCAAAAACCCTGTGATGAAATGGGCGAAGTATTTATTCCTTTCAATGCAACCTATCCGGACGCTTTCCTTTTCTTATGATGCATGTACAGAATTCGAGTTGGTGCGCCCAAAATTTGCCTCCCACCCTCAGATAGGCATACAGTAAAATACAGACATGGTTCCAGCGAAATCTACGCTTGTACGTATCACATTTAATGTGCTTCTGAATTGGAGATAAATTTATCATCTAGCATTTTGATGCCAATAAGCCAATTCATATGAAAGAGCCTTGCAAAAAGAAAAAAATTATTCTTGAAGCTTCAGGAAGAGACTTACAAGTAATAATCAAATATCAGAGGAAGGTATAAAACGATTTGGGGTGAAGTTATACATGATAGCATTCGCTCAAAACATTTGAGATAGTAAACTTTTCCATCCTTGAGTGATTTCTGAATTTCTCGTTCAGTGCTACTCAGTTTTCTCAATCAACGTTGGGGGCTGGCCCAGCATCCTTTGCAGTTTCCAGAGCATGTGATGATGTTCTATTTCCTTTTCCACCAAACAGAAACCACGGTCTTCTACCTCTTTCCCACGAAGCCCCTCAGACTGAGACACCACGGAGGTCACCACTCGCCTTCAGGAGCTGGCTGGTCACTAGCTCCTGCATGCCCTCTGCCCTTGAGGGTCGTGTACAGAACCTTCCCAATAAGAGCACAGTGTCCCTCTGTTCACATATGGCTGGGGGTTGTAATATATACATTTTAATGCATATTTGCTGAGCTACCACTATGTACCCAGCACTGTGCACTCCTTGTCTCTCCCTGGAGCATGCATGGAGATTTCAGAGCAGTCCTCTCTCTGAATACGGAGCGAGAGAGAGACCCTCACTGGCCTGAGGCTCCCTTAAGGCTTATGTCACAATGCACCTGCTGAAAATGCAAGCAGGAGCCCTAAACTACATCTAAGCCACTTTACTTTCCTACCCAATGATGCTCTCTACCTGGGTTCCGAGAAGCAGACACAGAGATAGAGTTTATGGTGTGTGTGTG